CTACGATGCCTGGCAATGAACTACACTGAGGCAGACTCACAGCTGCTCAAGGCATTGGGTATTAAGTGATGGATGAGAACTCAGTCTGAAACAGGAAATTCATACCACCTTTTCTGAGCCTCAAGGAACATCACAGTAGAGAAAACAGAAAGAATGTAAGATCTGGAAGATAGGAAGAAGGCCTATAAAGTGCTACCTTCTGGGCATCACACAGCTATTGCAATCATCTCACAGTAATTGAAGTTGCTTCTACTGGGCCTTCATAAAACTGGGCCTGTCATTAGTCAATCATGGATAGAAGAAATATTCACAGGACTGTAGCTAGAGTTTTCCTGCCTTACCCACAGTCAGGACAAATCTTTGTCACCCGCCAATCCCACAGCCGTCAGACCCAAACAAGTAAACACAGAGACTTATATTGCTTACAAACTGTATGGCCATGGCAGGCTTCTTGCTAACTGTTCTTATAGCTTAAATTAATCCATTTCCACAAATCTATACCCTGCCACGCGGCTCATGGCTTACCAGCATTTTCACATGCTGCTTGTCCTGGTGGCGGCTGGCAGTGACTCCTTCTGCCTTCCTGTTCTTTCTTTTCTCCTCTCTGTTAGTGCCACCTATACTTCCTGCCTAGCCACTGGCCAATCAGTGTTTTATTTATTGACCAATCAGAGCAACACATTTGCCATACAGAACATCCCACAGCACAGGACCATACTTCTGGTGAACAACTGGGTAGATTCTGGAGGAAAGGCAATATCTTCTTCAGTTACATACCCACAAGTTGAGCCCACCAGGCTCCAATGGATAGTTTGAAACCTATGACCACATAGATATTCCTGGTTAAGCTCAGTGAGTCACAAGACAAAGCAAAGACAAGACTGTAAGTAAGATCTACAAAGAGGTGAAGGTTAAATGACTGTGGGAAGGAGATGAGGAGAGGGGAGTAACCTGTACATTATATACATGTATGAAGTTGTCAAAGAAGAAAATAAGTTATATATAAATATGTGAAAAACTATACAACACACACACACAAAGCAGATGAACACTGGTGCGCATCTCAGTGATAAGAGTGCTTGCCTGGGATGAAAGTGGTTCTAGGTTCAACTCTTTGTGATATTACCCAAGGTTAAATTTAATCATTCTAAGGGGAAGGATGGCGTGGATATTCTTTGTGTTTTAGCAAAAACATACTACTGAGAGATACAAATTAAGAGAATGAGAAACAGTATTTTGCTTTCACTGGTGTTTTCACACATATTATCTATTCCTTACTCCATTTCAGACAGATACTATCACTTTTTGGTGTTTTAGATATGAAATGTTGTAGTCCAATGTAATAAAAAAAAAAACCTTCCTCACATATTTCTTTTAAAAAATCAACTTTATTGAAATATATAATTCAATCACTTTGTGAGAAAATTATTTTTCAGCCTATTTAGAAGTATATAATAACCATCATCACAATCAATTTGGGAACCACTTCTATCATCTCCTAAAACAAAATAAAATAAAATCCCCAAAGAAAAAAATAAACCTCATATCCAATTCAGCACTCCTTCTTTCCAGAACCAGCTAATACTGGGGAACAAGGTGGCATTCCTATTGTCATTTTTCCGTTTGTCGAGGCTAAAATTGAAAAAAACTCTGAGATGGTTGTCACCCTATGAGCTGAATCTGTAATTCATCTTTATTTTGTTAGTGTGCATATTTGTATAAAATAATGAAATGCATAATTCAGTTCTGTTTGGCCAATGGCCATCACTACATACTTTGTTATAGTTGCTTTCCAGGTGTCCAACTCTTCAAATCCTATCCTTCAGAAGGTCTTCCTTGATTCAATCCAGGTATTTGCCAACCTGTGCAAAAAAGTAGTTCCTTCCATGGTCTTCCACTATTTGTAACTTAAGTTTGATAGATGAGTTATGGTGGTTTATAACCAAATAGTGAAATATAAGACCAAGTTTCCGTTTTAATAACTAGTAATCTGTAAATCAACATTTCAGCACCATGCAGAAAATTTATCTCCCAATCAACATTAACACAGATCATCCTTAACTCTTATTTCATTAGGAGCTGTAAAATGATTATTCTCTAAAGGATAATATTACCATGAATATTCATGTATCAAGTTTTTGTATAGACACGCATATGCTTTTAGTTCTTTGGGTATATAATTGCTGAGTCATACTGCATCTGTGTTTAACACTCTGATGAATTCCCAGACGGTTGTACAAAAATAGCTGCACCATTTTACACTCCCATTATCAGAATCTGAAGGTTCTAGCTGCCCCATATCTTTGCCAGCACTTGGAATACAGTCATCCTTGTACATAGAGAAAGGGAATTTATTGTGGTTTTGATTTGCAGTTCCCTAGTGACTAAAAAAGATGGAAACTATTTGTAACTTTATCATTTGCTATTTTAAAATTAGGTTGGTTTTCGTGACTGAGTTTTAATGTTTTTATGTATTTTAGCTACTATGCCCTATCAGATGCGATCGTCAAGATTCCCTCCCCACTCTGTGCCGGCTGTCCTCCTAATTTGTTTATCGATGTTATCCTTGGGAGTATAAGGTTTTTATTTTGATATAGTCCAATTTATTCCTATTTTACATTTGCCACACGTGCTCTTTGCCTAATCTATGGTCACAGACTTACTACTGTTTTCTTCTAAAAGGTTTGTGCTATTGGCCTTATATTTAGGTTTAGGACTCCTTTTATTTTTGTACATGGTATAAAGCCTTAGCTCCAATCTTTTGCATGTGGATATTCAGTTTTTCCAGTATCATTTGTTAAGACTATTGTAAACAAACAGATTTCCCAGTGACCTGTCTTAGAAGCCTATTGTACTAGTTACTTTTCCATTGCTGTGACAAAATATAATGACCAAGGCAAAAAGGATTTTATTTATTATTATTTTGTTGTTGTTGTTTTTTCAAGACAGGGTCTCTCCGTGTAGCCCTGGCTGTCTGGGAACTCACAGAGATCTGCCTGTCTCTGCCTCCAAGTGCTGGGATTAAAGGCCTGTGCCACACTGCCTGATGGCAAAAAGTATTTTAAAACAGGACTAAAATGTAGAAAAACCAAGGAAAGGGTTACCTTATATTATTTTCTTTTTTATACTCATATCGTGGAGAACACAGAATAAGTGCTGGTTTCAAAACTCTATGCCTCCCAAAAGAGCTTTCAACTATCAAAGACCGATACTAGAAAGCTAACATGGCAGAAACAAAGAAACGGCGAGTGTCTGGTGCTTTAATGTATCATTTAGCCAGAAACCATGCTTTAGTTTTTATTCCTTAGGATATTTAGGAATGAAGGAATTAAGGCTTAAAAAGTTAGCTGTTGCCAGGCGGGTGGTGGCGCACGCCTTTAATCCCAGCACTCGGGAGGCAGAGCCAGGCGCATCTCTGTGAGTTCGAGGCCAGCCTGGGCTACCAAGTGAGTTCCAGGAAAAGGCGCAAAGCTACACAGAGAAACCCTGTCTCGAAAAACCAAAAAAAAAAAAAAAAAAAAGTTAGCTGTCTTCTGATGACATTATGAGATAAGATATGATCCCTAGTACGTCTGATTTGCCCAGGAGTGTTGTCCTTTGTACAACATTAACAACTCAAAGCATCTTAAAGATGACAACTTGACTTGGGAGGTTAGGAGCCCAATGATCAGGTCTTATAAAAAACCTGGATTTGTTATTAAATCTCAAGGAATTCACTTCACCTCTTAGATCCTTTGTTAATTTATTTAAATAAAACAGAGGCTACAGAACAACTCTTATCTCTGAGGATTAGGCAGTCCAAGCATGGGAGAGGGTCAGGCTAAAACACTAAATTATATTTCTTTGAAAGCACATATGGTACTGAGTCCTTGAAACTTGTTTTTGCTTTTTTGTGTGTATTTTATGTATATGGTGTTTTGCCTGCATGAAAGTCTGTGTGCCACATGCATGCCTGGTGTCCAAAGAGGTCACAGGAAGGCTTTGGATCTCCTGGAACTCTAGTGAAAGATGACTGTGAGCCATTATGTGGGTGCTCGGAATTAAATCTGGGTCCTCTGGAAGAGCACCTAGTACTCTAAATTGCTGTTATTTCTCCAGCCCTGCTATTTGATCTTTGAGACAAGGTCTCAGTTTGTAGCTGGGGCTGGTCTCAAACTCATGGCAATTCCTCTACCTCAGTCTCCTAAGTGCTGGGATTACTGACTAACTCTAGGAACTTTTAAATCCTGCTTTCCAGGTCTGGGGATTTAACAAAATGCCCAGAATCATTCAATTCTACCTGTACAGCCTGCATCCCTGAATCACAAATCTGCAAACTTCTTTGCAACTGATCCTGTAATGGCAGAACCTTTCATCTCACCTTTATTGTAAATAATTTACCATGATCCCTGCATTATCTTTAAAGTAATATGACTTTCTGACCTTCACTGGTTCATCCCTCTATAGCAACCTGATGGTCACAAAGTACACTACAGCCCAGAACTCCTGACTCAAGCCATCCTCCTGCTTCAGTCTCTCTAGAGTTGGAATTACTGGCATACACCACTGTACCTGGCTCCAGTATGACTTTACTGCCCAGTTCCCATTGTTGGCTGTACTTTCTTTCGAGTTCTGGTTTGCCTTTAACTGTGGCCATCACCATGTCACCCAGCACCGTGACCCCTACAACAGAGATGCAGATTTCTGGCTCCTATGTTGTTGTCAGCACATTTTCACTGTGGCTACTGGGAGGCCCAGAGAAATCTAAAAATTCACATTGGAAGACACATCATCTCCCTGCCTTAACTTGGATGTCAGAATGTAAGAGAAAGAAAAAAAGTCCAAGTCTGGGAATTTTTATACTAGACTATTTTACTATAACCTTTACATCCTGCCCTGAGCAACAAATCCAATGAGTACATGATAGAAAGAAAAACTAAAAGAAACAGAAAAGCAAAACAAACAATCTCCTTTCATAGTAAGCTACTGAAAATATTAAGTGAAAGAATATGAGACTATAACACAATAGAATAAGAATTTTTATTTTACAAATGAAAAGGCAAAAAAGTGGTACTAATTGATCCTAACCCAAACTCTGATTTCATACCTTGTAGTTGAACTTTGCCAGTTTATCAGTTAATTCCACTGAAAACTGACTAAGCCTCTCTCCAAGGAAGAAGCACAGACCAAATTTAGCCACGATGACAGAAATGACTAGCAAAGGAAATGAGTGCATTGCCGTTCCAATTCCTCTTCCTTCTTAGAAAGGTACTCCATGGTCACGTGGAGAACTGAAGGTTCTAATTCTGCCTGCACTCTGATAGCCATGTCTCTCAGAGGAGCCTTACTAAACTAGGGCATCCTTTGCAATAGCATTCAAAGTCCTTACTTTTGTCACGTCTGTTACCTTTAGAGAATATTCTGAATGAGCAAGTGAAGCTCCCATTGCAACAGAGGAATTTCTGCAATAGAAATAACAAAGAACAGATAGATAATCATATCAGTTGTTAAATACACTCTCCTTCACTTTATAGACTAATTCATGCCCCAAGAATAAAGGAAGGTCAAAGATGCTGGACTACTATACTCACAATTTTCATTGATCAATTACTTGAAAAATCTAGTAGCTAAATCTACCAGGCAGGAAATTGGATTTTGTATCTGAAAATGTACATGATAAAGTCTTCCTTTTTTATGTTGAACCCTCCCCCACCAGTAAATGAGATGATTCAATTAAATTGTAGGAATCCTCTAAGGTGTTGAAAAAACACAGTGGTTTAAAGTCCTTAATGGTGATAAAATTTCAAAACAACTGCAACTAGAGAGCAAAGGTAAAGGAAGACTATTTACAGTAGGAGAGATAAAAATGGTACTGAGGCTGCCTTATACCAATTATTAACTTTGTAAAAGGAAAGCATACAGGATGAGTACATGTGAGTATCTGACTCACTGGATCCTTTACTGCTGAATTAACTTATTAAGTGCTTATATTCAGCAGTGCTTGAATTAGGAAATCATTCCCACTGAATTAAGTCTCTCTCTTAGTAGACCCAGACTAGACATACCCATTAAAAATGGTTATAACTAGCAAAACTAAGCAAAGGCTAGATAAAGGTTAACTCATACTCTGAAGTTACTGCTTAGTTAGGGAAGAACAACAATCATTTTAGGAATATTTTTCAACTGAAAAACCAATCATAATACTTACTAATCACAGCATTCCATTATTTAATAATGATATTAACTAAAGTTTTCTTTTTTTCTTTTTTGTTTGTTTGTTTGTTTATTTTTTGTTTTTCAAGACAGAGTTTCTCTGTGTAGTTTTGCTGTCTGTCCTGGATTTTGCTCTGTAGACCAGGCTGGCCTCGAACTCACAGAGATCCACCTGCCTCTGTCTCCCGAGTGCTGGGATTAAAGGCATGCGCCACCGCCACCCGGCAAGTTTTTTTATTTAAGCAAGCAAAGATTAATTTCATCCTCTCCTGTATATAAAGAATGTATTTGTACCGAAACTTCATTCCTGAGTCTCTAGAAGACCGAGCAGAACAGTGGAATTCTGTAGCACCTGAACCCTCAAGGATCCTTTGCAGATTTTTATCTGTTATGCCACCTCCTGTTACAAAGAAAAAGTAATACATTAAGTGGGACAGAATATCACATAAAATTTAAATATAGATAAATCGTTCTTCTACATAAAATCTCCATTCTAAAAATTTCACTGATTCAAGAATTTTTGTCTCTAAGCTAAAATGGGATCAGAAAACAAGTAAGACCTATGCTACAGACTCTGGAGAATTTTTTTTTTTTTTTTTTTTTTTGGTTTTTCGAGACAGGGTTTCTCTGTGTAGCTTTGCGCCTTTCCTGGAACTCGCTTTGGAGACCAGGCTGGCCTCGAACTCACAGAGATCCGCCTGGCTCTGCCTCCCGAGTGCTGGGATTAAAGGCGTGCGCCACCACCGCCCGGCAGACTCTGGAGAATTTTTAAGGACAGAGCTTATAAAGGAAACTCACTTATCCATTGGTTTATGTCACGATGCTATGCATTACTAACTTTGGATTTAAAAAGACTATTCTGGACAAGGAAAATCATTCAGCACTTCATCATTGCTTTCCCCTTAACTTATATATGGAAAGTTCAAGAAAGGTTCAAGGAAAAAGCTACAAAAGCATCAGAAACTTATCCTCAACAGAGAACCTGTAACGTTTTGCTCTGGCCTAGGATTTGAAGAGTGTACAGACTGTACTGGCAATGAGAGGAAGCAAACTCTTTCCAGCTTGTTTATCCGAAGAATAACTGCTTGTTTCATTTCACTGACGAGTCTAATCTTATTTAGTTTAAACTACATAGCCAAATATTTATGACAGTCATACTCTGAACTGATACCAGTAATTATAAATATGAAACTATTCAGCATCATATTCTGATATAGAAAATATATTCAAATATTTTAAGATAGTATTAGTTATGTACTTTGTACTTTAAGCTATGTTTTTCATATACTTCTTCAGACTCATTAACTTGGCTTTTTGTTGTTATGGTTGTTGTTAGTGCTACAGTCACACTGCTGAACTCTTAAGAGTGGAAAGAACAAGCTGGGCATAGTGGTGAATGTCTTTAACCTCAGCACATGAAGCTGAGGTGGGATGATCTCAAGTTTGACCAGCCTGGGCTACATAACAAGACCCTGTCTCACAAAACAAAACAATAAAACAATGAACAACAACAACAAAACACAATCCAACACAACACAAAATGCAGAACAGAATGAGACAAAACAGAAAGAACACAGGCCAACAAGTCAGATTTAGAGTAGAATTCTGGGCTTTCCCACGGTAACTGTAAAAAGCTGTGTGATCTCACTGAAATTACTGAGTCTCAACTGATTTTAGTGGAAATACTTTGAGCTTTGTAAATGTAGGTTTGTCATATACAGCCTTTTTATGTTGAGATATGTTCCTTCTAGCCCCACTTTCTTCTGAACTTATCATGAAGAAGTTGGATTTTGAGATGTGATTTATGTCCTAAAGTTTGTTGATACAACTGTATGAGCTGACAGAATAGTCCCTTTATTCAGGCATGTTGCCTAACATTTGGTTTTATCATAGGACAGCAGCACTGAACCCCGCTTTGCCTCACCAAGATGAATACTCAAGTTCATAGCATTCTACAACGGTGAGAATGCAAACATGGAGAAAATTCCTAATTTGCTCCTCTTTGAGCCAACTTCTCTTAGAAGGCTCTTTATTTTTAAATCTCAGCAGAGACCCCCGAATCTTAAAACATTTTAATCAAACCATATATTTTTATCTCTAAGTACCACATTCTGGCACTTTCTCCTTTGTTTTTTTGACTCATTTGCTCTTCCAACACTTTATTTCAGTGTTATGAGAAAAACCAGAGATACATACCTGGCATCACCACAATCCTGCCTTTGGCCTGAAAACGGGGAAGAAAAAGGAAATTTTAGTATCTTTCTCTCAACTGAGATTAATAAGTATACTAAAAAATTTAAATTACTGCTAATGTTTAATTTTTCAATAGCTCTCTCTCTCTCTCTCTCTCTCTCTCTCTCTCTCTGAGGGAAAGGGTATTGGGCAGGAAAGATGTTCAGCATCATAATTTTTTTACAGAAAGATTTTTTATTATATTGCCTTATGAATGTATATTATAAACAAAAAATTGGTGGAAAAATATACTTTATAATCGTATCATCTTTAGAAAAATATTACTGGAAAATCACAGAAATTTTGAGTTTGTAGTACACAGTGAATGAAAATAGGTGCATGTAAGTAAAATTTTAGTAGAAAAGACAATATAGCGTAATTGTAAATTATGGTGAGGGGAACGGGAAGATGGGAATCTATTCAATCTTGACTCCTCAACTAAATATCAACAAAATACAGCCATACATTCATTTAACTGAAAATGTAAGAATCAATTTAATTTCTGATAATTTTGGAAGATAGGGACAAATTATAAAATTATCATATGGCCTATCCATTCTCCTAAGAGTCTATTTATCTTTCTGGAAAATCCTTTTTCTCCCATAGTTGCCCTTCTCAAGCCTCCTCCCCACCCATTAAAATCATATGTAAGCCCCTATTCTAAGCATCTCTTTGAGTTATATTTCTTTGCTAACATACACACAAGAATATACAGTTATGCACAGATTCTTTTGTTGGTTTATATGCCCCAGGAACTAAACATAAGAGGGAAGAGAAAAATCTATCCCTTTGACATGGTGAACAAGAGAAAGTTCCTACTTGCATGGAACTTAAACATTAAAAGAAGACTGTAACAAACAATATTTATATAATAAATTTCAGATAGTACATACAATGAAGGTAAAATATAGTCAGGTAATGAAATACGGACTGAGAGGAAGAGGGCTATTTCACAAAATTAATAATTGTTAGAAAAATTAACTGGATCAAAGATTTATCATGTTCTCAAATGTGTAAAGGTGAAGCATCTATAAAACATTCACTATCTAAGAAGTTGAAATGATTTTAGAGAGGGGAAAGTCACATTTATTTATTTCTTCCAAATGAAAGCTTTCCAAAATAAAGACAAATAATATTTTAAAGAGATAAATATAATCATGCTTTTTGGCCTTCTATAAAAGATTACTTAGAATAATATATTTACCTACCATTATCAGAAGTGATTTAATAATACAAAATATTGAGCATCAGTAATTATCTAAAAGACAAACCTTATGTTATGGTTTGAATGTGAAATGACCCCCACAGGCTTGGTTGCCCCCTGACAGACTTTGGGGAAATGACTGTACCATGAGGACTCTGACTTCATGAATGGAATAATCCACTGATGGATTAAAAATCTGGATAGACATGAAGCTCCATATTCTGGCCTACAACTTCAGAAAAAGACTTTGGCTTTGCTGGGGGTGGGTGGACGCACACCTTTAATCCCAGCCCTTGGGAGGCAGAGGCAGGTGGATCTCTTGTGAGTTCAAGGCCAGCCTGGTTTACAAAGCAAGTTCCAGGACAGTACTGGACAGATAGGACTACTGCACAGAGAAACCCTGTCTTGAAAAATCAAAACACACACATACACACACACACACACATACACACACAAACACACACAACTTCTGCTTTACTGGAGGCCAGGTTGGATTTAGGGACCCCAGGTAAGACACCACCCACAGCCCATTAATACCCCTTTAAGCCCACCCAACAACCCCAGACTGTACTCCCTCCCCTGGGCTCCATATTCTGGCCTATAACTTTGGAAGAAGACTTTGGCTTTACTGAAGGCCAGGCTGGATCTAGGGAACCCAGCCCCAGCAGAAAACTTATGCTGTACTGGAAGTCATGCTACACTAGGAATCCCAGGTGCCAAGCAGTTACCCAGAACTCCAGAGGCCACACAGGTACTTGGAATGGAAAAGGCAACATTGGCACCCAAAACCTCAGAGGTTTTGTAGGCCCCCAAAACACCAGTGGAGACACCCTACTGGACCTGAAGACTCATGAGACTCCTTAGACACTTAGGCCAGAAGACAAGAGAAGAAACACAAACCAAGGGACAAAACACCCATCCAATAAAGACAAACACAGGAATCAACACCTAGACCTATAATCATCCCAAACCCAGATGCCTAAACACCAGTGTAAGAATGCAGTCAATAACAGAAAGGGCAACATGGCACCACCAGAGTCCAGCTATCCTATGACAGCAAGACCTGAACAATCCAATGCAGCTGAAGCACAAGAAAACAACCTTAAAAACAACTTTATGAAGATGATAGAGGTCCTTAAAAAGGAAATGAAAAAAATCCCTTAAAGAAATCGAGGAAAGCCGGGTGGTGGTGGAGCACAACCTTTAATCCCAGTACTCGAGAGGCAGAGGCAGGTGGATCTCTGAGTTCAAAGCCAGCCTGGGCTACAGAGTGAGTTCCAGGAAAGGCATCAAAACTACACAGAGAAACCCTGTCTCGGAAAAAAAAAATTGAGGAAAAGACAAACAAAAAAAATTAAGAAGAAATCAATAAATCCCTTAAAGAATGCCAAGAAAAAACAAACAGGTGAAGGAAACAGTTCAAGACCTGAAAATGGAAATAGAAGCAATAAAGAAAACACAAACTAAGGGAATTTTGGAAATGGAAAATCTGGGTAAGGGAACAAGAACTGTAGATGCAAAGCATTACCAATATAAAACAAGAGAATCTCAGGTGTTGAAGATACAAAATAGAGGAAATAGATTAATTGGTCAAAGAAAATGTTAAAACTAAAAATTCCTAACACAAAACATCCAGGAAATCTGGGACACTATGAAAAGAGCAAACCTAAGAAAAATAGGAAGAGAAGAATCCCAGCTCAAAAACCCAGAGAAGATATTTAACAAAATCATAGAAGAAAATTTTCTCAATCTAAAGAAGGACATGCCTATAAAGGTCCAAGAAGCTTACAGGACACCAAATAGATTGGATCAGAAAAGAAAATACCTATACCACATTATAATCAAAACACTAAACATA